CTTCCACATACATACATCTAAACAGCCTATCCTTCCAGTCATCGTATCGATCCCACTGCAACATGTGTTAATATCAGCATATGAAGAACAGTTGGTTACTAGTAGTCCATGTGTTTCAGCAATGCTTATTTTACATGTGATAAATGTAACAAAGTGCACCAAGGGTTATATATAAAAGATGTATAATATAGAGATATATGTATAATAAAGAGATAGCATCACTGCACATGTTGGTAGTCGAGATTACTGAAGATTATATCAGGCCGCTGTATGCCTTAAAAGTTATTGATATGTCAACTGCGGATGTAGCAGGTGATAACAGATACATTCAATAGATAGCATAGGGCTTTACGGGGATGTCTCAGTACAAGGCATAGCAGTTCCTGTCATGGTCCAATCTTGTGCAGACAATTTCTCAGTCTCAGGTGGTCCAGAGAAGACAACGTTGCAGTTTCTGAAGTCGTCGCCTTGTTGCTTCTTGACGGTGTTACATATATCATAAATGTATAACGTCACAATTAGTCACGTCTCTCTTCATTGATCGTTGTATAGCGGCAGCCATCCGTCAAGTTGTGATTATCAACAAATTGTTACGATTTATTCATCCAAGCGTCATTGTTCCGTAACGCATGGAATGAACAGCAAAACATTTAACCGATGATTGAACATGTTTGTTGTGCGTCCATCACATGACAAAGTGTTCTATTTATGTTCCAAAGTTTCCTCCCGTGTCTTACATATCAGCTGCTTTCCCTCAACGACAACAAGAAACGAGTAGTTTCCTCCACTCATTTCTGAATCTTTCATTGCAGAAACTGTACACAATGCAGTTAACTGCACTCTGTATGACGTATGAGCGTAGGAATACATTATACACCATGAACCCTGCTCCTTGTAAAGAGTCCAGAAAGTCGGATTTGATAAATCGAGTTATCATCAGGATCAGATGAGGTAAGAAACTGATGATGAACACCACTGTGATGATGAACAACATAAGCGTTGTCTTGAACGCTCTGGGCCTTGATTTTTCTTTTGGTTTTGCAGCATTTTTTCTTATGGATCTCACACTATTCGAGGAATTGTCTTCTTTACGCGTCTTGGGTTGTGCTGAGGTGTCATTCATACATGTACAACTTGTCTCAGACGAACCGTCAAAACCAAGCGTCCCATTGTTTGAATTGGAAACATTGCAAGGAGCCGTGGGTGACGATATGTTACGGAATGCGATCCCATTCTCAGTTCCATCTTTAAATGACGTCTCGGTTGTGTAATTTGAAGAGTGGCGTTCCTTATCCTTTGCCGGGCGGAATTTAAATTTCCGGTGATTAAACACAGTCCTTCCAATGAGGATGTACACAACCACCAGGACACTCAGAGAACCGAAGAAGATGAGGAATAGGACTCCTATATAGACCACGGGGAACAGAGTACCGCGCCACCCGTCGTCAAAGGAACACTCGAAGCCTGTTATTTCCTCTTTGTCTGTTTTGACCGTTTTCCTACCGTTGACTATAACTGTCGGGATGGTGAGAACTAGTGATACGGACACAGCGATCCCTACCATCATGCGCGCGACTCTGATGGTGATCTGTTTGTTCAAAGGCCGACATATCTTCCTGTATCTGTCTATAGCAACAGCTATGAGCGTGAATCCTGAGGACACCACGGAGAATGTGTTGTTGAATCGTATCATTCTACACACGACTGGGTAGTCGAACGTGTGACTGTACCTCATGTCCAAGATTTCACCTGGAATTGAAATGACGCATGTCATGAGGTCAAACACAGCCAGACACACCACAAACACACGGGTCGGGCTTGGTTTGAATTTCTTGAGGTACACGATCAACACAAGAATATTTCCGAAAATACCCAGAACCATTAGGATGCCAAGATATACTACGGCTGGTATCCTCAAGGGAAACATCGAGTCGTCAAGGTGGGATAGATAACGGTTCTTCTCCTCATCGCTGATGTTTAATGATGACGTCACTTCCGCTGTCGTGTTGTCTACACCGAAATGGGTCGTATCTGAGAAGGTGACTGGCGACCTTGAGGCCATATTGGATTTGGTGATCACCTGAAATAATACGCAAATATGATTGTTTGTAGTGACACATTTCGTTTTTCATATGCCTCAAATGTGATACTCTGAACCCTTACTATTGGTACTTGTAACGAGATCTGAAGTATGACCAATTGAGATCAGCATATAATAACGCATATGTGAACCCATGTTAAAAAATCACGGGTAGAATAGGTCTTCAGCAACATATGCTTGCCGTAAAAGGCGACTATGTTTGTCGTAAAAGGCGACTAACGGGTTCTGGTTGTCAGGCTCGCTGACATGGTTGATGCATGTCATCGTATCCCTACTGCGTAGATCGATGCTCATAATCTCAATTACTGGATTGTGTGGTCCAGCTTCGATTACTTGCATACCGCCGTCATACAGCTAGATCCCGGTTCGCCCCGATTATATTTCGAGGTTTGTCAGCACCATACCCGTGCTCGTGGGTTTCACCGAAGTGTTAAATGTCTGAGACCTGCATCACTTCGGGCTTTCCTTCCACATTAAGCTGACACGCCGCGATATAACGGGAACACTTTTAAAAGCGAACTCACTCAATATAATATTGTTTCAGATGCAATGGATGCAAGATGTCGTTTTCTAGAACCGTACTTACCTCTACGTCGTGACACCCCTCCTCGTTGCAGTTGTATGCCCAGCTTAAATGCTCCCTGTGTTATGTGTAAACTGAAAAGAACGCATTTCTATCAACCAGGAAGTGTTCCCTGTATTTGACATGTCATAAAAAAAGCGTCCTCATATTTGAATAGAGCATGATTTAGTCGTACATATAGCTAGGGTTTGTATTGCTGATGAAGAATAACGAATGTTTTGGCTTAATCACATGCATGAATCTTCACATCCATGGCAACCGCCTCCGTGGTCTAGCGGTAGAGCGTTCGCCAGGAGAGCTGACGTTTCGGAATTCGATACCCGACCGCGTCATACAAGAAGACGTTAAAATATGGTACTTGTTCTTACCCTGTCTCGCGCTGGACATTAAGGGGCTAAAACAAGGACTGGTCAACTTGGAGTCAGTATACTGTGTCTGAGTGGGGTACTGGTGTTAAACTGCAGGATGTTACCTCCTTGGGCTAGCAGTATTAATCGTCATCAGTCCGTGATTGCACGTCGCTTTATAAGTGTAATAATCTTGGACGCGACGTTAAACCCCATTTCACCTCTCCTCACCTCGCCTCGCCTCGCTTCCCCGCTCGCATCACCTCACCTCACCTCACCTCACCTCACCTCACCTCACACCACCCCGCACCACCCCGCACCGCACCGCACCGCACCGCACCGCACCGCACCGCACACCACACCACACCACACCACACCACACCACACCACACCACACCACACCACACCACACCACACCACACCACACCACACCACACCACACCACACCACACCACACCACACCACACCACATCTGGGCTTCTGGTCAAATCGATCGCATGTAGGGAGTGAAATCTAATTTGCTATCAGTGTTGGTATATTTAAGTAGCCTAACATCCAATGTTTCTGTGAGGAGGGGGAGGGGATGCAAAGATCTCCAAAACGTTTCTAGTAGACACAGTCACGATAACGGTCCGATATTAGAGCCTAGGGAAAACCATGTACATACATTGTACATCGATGAAATTAGACATGATGTATTGTATCTAGAGTTTAATCTTGTAATTATAATACGGTCACTCTACGTCGACCACACGATTTCATGTTATGAACCAGAGCAAGTATTTGCATTATGCAAAGGTAGAAGAAGACCCATGCCCCACCTTTCCAGATTGCATCCAAATTCATGACATAACACGTTTCGACAGTAAACATCTCAAATATGAACATGTATATCATACACTTGGAGTCAGCATATCAGATGACAGCTTACCGCAATATGTAAAATAATATATTACATTTAGTTATATTTTAACACGCAAACTGTTAATGTATCTGTATGCTCTAAACGTTAGTGATATGTATAAACCTACTGTCAATACCAACTATTTAGTTAAGAAATATAGTTTGCTCTTCCCAATGTGTGGTGTAATAAAGTATAGATTTGCCCTGAACTATTATAGTTAAAGTATATTATAGCGCCATTTTCCTTGACGTTTATGAAAGAACAATGTTACCAAGGATACGTTAGATCTTGGGGAGGTAATTTGAACAGCGCCATAACGTCAGTCCATTATGTGGAACTCAAACTGTTACTTCATTGCAGGATAAAAGACAGTCGACACTTTTTATCTTTTAGCCAAGCATCTTAGACTAATACATATATCATGAGTTTAAAAAATTTGTTATAAGATTGGACGTTTAGTCCATACACTGCTTGTGGGTAAGAATATACATGTATAATCAACATTTTGTTTCTTGGCATGACCTTAATAGTACTTAGTATGCTTTTGAATACACAGATATACGAAAGCATAGTAGGGCCACGGTTTTGTCTAATTATCTCCTACATAGGACGTAGTATCTCCTACGTAGGAATTACCATCACCTACGTAGGACTTCCTATCTCCTACGTAGGAGATACTAAGTCCTACGTAGGAGATACTAAGTCCTACGTAGGAGATAGTTATTCTAGTCCATACTTAGTCCTACGGAGGAGATAGTAATTCTAGGCCATACTAAGTCCTACGTAGGAGATAGTTATTCTAGTCCATACTAGTCCTACGTAGGAGATAGTTATTCTAGTCCATACTAAGTCCTACGTAGGAGAAAATAAGTCCTACGTAGGAGATACTTTGACAAAACAATTCACCGTGCCCTACTACGCTTCCGTGCAGATATAATCTCACAAAGGTGGCTTTTGATATCAAATATAGAAACTAGAGTCGATGAAGGGAGAAATGTTTCGAGTCTGTGTATTATTTTAATGGACAGATGTTGGTTTATACGTATGTGATAACAAGAGACAAGAGAGTGAGATTTTATTTATTTCCTGATATCATTGTGAAGCAGAAATATGTCTAAAAATGTTGCAATTTGAAAATCACAAGAATTAGATCACCTTAACATCAAAAGACAGTAAAATATTGACATGCACGTATATAACTCGACTGAAACTTTTGCAACTTATCCATAACAACTTATCCGTGCATAAAATAGTCATGACATCACTATATATATGTTGCATTTACGAGGAGTCGTTACTGGAAGACATTAGGTCGAGCGACCAATGAGTGGGAGACTCGACCTTACGTTTACAAATTTACTTGTAACTGTGCTACTCGTGATCCTGAAGATATCGATTTTGAATATTTATTGCGGTTTCTGGGTGTGATTAACATGTTATTTGAGATAAATAGCAAAACATCCTTTTCTACGTGTATGTATAAAGTGATGCTTGGAATACAGTGACATCTGTTGAGTTCTGACATGAGTTGAATCTGATATGTTGGCATGATGATGAATAACATTTATTAGAATCAGATTCGTGGTAAACTGATGTTACTTTGTTATAATGGTAAACTAGTGGTACAATGTTACAATCCGTGCTGTCTTCCACATACATACATCTAAACAGCCTATCCTTCCAGTCATCGTTTCGATCCCACTGCAACTTGTGTTAATATCAGCATATGAAGAACAGTTGGTTACTAGTAGTCCATGTGTTTCAGCAATGCTTATTTTACATGTGATATATGTAACAAAGTGCACCAAGGGTCATATATATATGTATAATATAGAGATAAATGTATAATATAGAGATATATGTATAATATAGAGATAGCATCACTGCACATGTGGGTAGTCGAGATTACTGAAGATTAATTCAGGCCGCTGTATGCCTTAAAAGTCATTAATATATCAACTGCGGATGTAGCAGGTGATAACAGATAAATAAAATAGATAGCATAGGGCTTTATGGGGATGTCGCAGTACAAGGCATAGCAGTTCCTGTCGTGGTCCCATCTAGTGCATACAATCTCTCAGTCTCAGGTGGTCCAGGGAAGACAACTTTGCAGGTTCTGAAGTCGTCGCCTTGTTGCTTCTTGACGGTGTTACATATATCATAAATGTATAACGTCACAATTAGTCACGTCTCTCTTCATTGATCGTTGTATAGCGGCATCCACCCGTCAAGTTGTGATTATCAACAAATTATTCGATTTATTCATCAAAGTGTCATCGTTCCGTAACGCATGGAATGAACAGCAAAACATTTAACCGGTGATTGAACATGTTTGTTGTGCGTCCATCACATGACAAAGTGTTCTATTTATGTTCCAAACTTTCCTCCCGTGTCTTACATATCAGCTGCTTTCCCTCAACGATAACAAGAAACGAGTAGTTTCCTCCACTCATTTCTGAATCTTTCATTGCAGAAACTGTACACAATGCAGTTAACTGCACTCTGTATGAAATATGAGCGTAGGAATACATTATACACCATGAATCCTGCTCCTTGTAAAGAGTCCAGAAAGTCGGATTTGATAAATCGAGTTATCATCAGGATCAGATAAGGTAAAAAACTGATGATGAACACCACTGTGATGATGAACAACATAAGCGTTGTCTTGAACGCTCTGGGCCTTGATTTTTCTTTTGGTTTTGCAGCATTTTTTCTTATGGATCTCACACTATTCGAGGATTTGTCTTCTTTACGCGTCTTGGGTTGTGCTGAGGTGTCATTCATACATGTACAACTTGTCTCAGACGAACCGTCAAAACCAAGCGTCCCATTGTTTGAATTGGAAACATTGCAAGTAGCTGTGGGTGACGATATGTTACGGAATGCGATCCCATTCTCAGTTCCATCTTTAAATGACGTCTCGGTTGTGTTATTCGAAGAGTGGCGTTCCTTATCCTTTGCCGGACGGAATTTAAATCTCCGGTGATTAAACACAGTCCTGCCAATGAAGATGTACATAACCACCAGGACACTCAGAGAACCGAAGAAGATGAGGAATAGGACTCCAATAAAAACAACGGGGAACTGAGTATCGCGCCACCCGTCGTCAAAGGAACACTCGAAGCCTGTTATTTCCTCTTTGTCTGTTTTGACCGTTTTCCTACCGTTGACTATAACTGTCGGGATGGTGAGGACTAGTGATACAGACACAGCGATCCCTACCATGATCCGCGCGACTCTGATGGTGATCTGTTTGTTCAAAGGCCGACATATCTTCCTGTATCTCTCTATAGCAACAGCTATGAGCGTGAATGCTGAGGACACCACGGAGAATGTGTTGTTGAAACGTATCATTTTACAAACGGCTGGGTAGTCGAACGTGTGACTGTACCTCATGTCCAGGATCTCCCCTGGAATTGAAATGATACAAGTCATGAGGTCAAACATAGCCAGACACACAACAAACACACGGGTCGGGCTTGGTTTGAATTTCTTAAGGTACACGATCAGCACAAGAATGTTTCCGAAAATACCCAGAACCATTAGGATGGCAAGATATACTACGGCTGGTATCCTCAAGGGAAACATCGAGTCGTCAAGGTGGGATAGATAACGGTTCTTCTCCTCATCGCTGATGTTTAATGATGACGTCACTTCCGCTGTCGTGTTGTCTACACCGAAATGTGTCGTATCCGAGAAGATGACTGGCGACCTTGAGGTCATATTGGATTTGGTGATCGCCTGAAAAAAAACGCAAATATGATTGTTTGTAGTGACACATTTCGTTTTTCATATGCCTCAAATGTGATACTCTGGAACTTGACTATTGGTACTTGTTACGAGATCTGAAGTATGACCAACTGAGATAAGCATATATTAACGCATATGTGAACCCCTGTGAAGATCCGGGTTAGAAAAGGTCTTCAGCAACATATGCTTGCCGTAAAAGGCGACTAACGGGTTCTGGTGGTCAGGCTCGCTGACTTGGCTGTGCATGTCATCGTATCCCAACTACGTAGATCGATGCTCATGATGCTCATCACTGGACTACGTGGTCCAGACTCGATTGTTTTAAGACTGCCGTCATATAGCTGGATTATTACCGAGTGCGGTGTTAAACAACAAACTACCAAAAACATGTGAAGCACAAGTAATATCCTCGGGGAAACAACATGACACGCAATATATAAAACTCTTAATTATTTCTTCCTCTTTTCACCCTTTTCTAAGGAAGGAAAATGTACAATAAGGAATACATAAATTAGCGCATATGTGAATCCAACTATTTTAATTTGTGGAGAAGGTTACAAGCCGCAGAGGTCTACAAGCACAAAATATGGCTACTGATCCCGCTTGGCTAAACCTCGTGCCCTCGCAAAATTGTTTCGAAATTTATATCTCCAAAGTTGCCAAAACTTATAAAATGCCTTAGCTACGTCATGGTTAGACACTGATTTTCAGTATATTAGACTGTTCTTTTGATAATGATAGTAATTATCCCTGTAGTTTATCCAGATATCCGATGGTTAATTCTGACTCGATCGCCGAATGATGAGGGCGACGCCATGTTCGTTTATAAACAGTGAAAGTAGTCCCTACTTGACCTTTGATATTTGCATCTGTATCCGCATATGACCCCAACGGATATCGTTTGTATCCGTTGGCTTTATCCTGCCGAGAAACCTACCGATTATATATATGATAAATAACTTTATCCCACAAGGTAAATCAATCGAAAACGTTGTCTTTGACAAGACCTTTTCAACCCGCTACGGTTTAAAACTTTACTTTATATAATAGTTCCAAAAATTAAATAAATAAAATAAGAAAGAAGAATTTTGTTTTCATGAATGTTGCATCATTCCGCTTCTTTTCTTTCTGTATATGTTTAGTTTGAGTATATTTTACTATGCAGATACCTGGAGCTCAAAACTGTTAATACGAGGGAGCGTATTGGATTTCAGGGTCTGGCTTTACTTTGCAGGACACTGGATTGTCTGGTCCAGACTCGATTATTTACAGACCGCCGTCATATAGCTGGAATATTGCTGAGTGCGACGTAAAACAACAAACATGTGAGTTAGTGTTAAATGGCTCACATTAACACGACTCACACTATTACTGGTGAGTCTTGGTAGATTACTGTTATACGCTTTATTACAATACAAAGTTAAGATATATAATTCCTTTATTAGATAATTTGCAACCGTGTGGTTTTACCAACGTCCGAATCATGCCGGAAAATAACTTTCCATATATTACGAGAGTTTTGTTACGCACATACACATGCTGATACAATAGTTGGTCAGATTACATTTAATCATTTTTCCTGGAGGAAGTATTAAGTATCAATAAAAAGACCCACTCATGCATGTCGTGGTAGCCCTGAGTATTATTATCAGATTATTCTGAAATATATTAGATGCTATTCATATTCTTACTTCACCGCTTGGCTGCGCACGAGGCAAGTTAAACGCTCAAAAGAATCAATGACAGGTCATGCTGTGTCCCTACATATACGATTAAAACATCTATATGTAAAATTTAGCTTTGGTTACTTTGATTGATTTGTATGTTTGATAATGTCCCGGAGTTTTAGGTTGGTAATCGCACGCGTGTATAACACAAAGATAAACATGCAACATTGAAGCAAAATAGTGCATGCTAAAGAGATGTTCACGTACATGAAAATAATCAGTTTCGAATATCTGCCGAAGTAGTTTAGTTGGACGTAAAACGCAAAATAGTGATGAACATGGTTTGATATGAATGGATAACTGAAAATCAGAAAAAAGACATGTATCATTAACCCAGACCTCGGATACCTGCAGAGTTCACACAATGTGCATAAAGGGTAAGTTGTTGTTGCTTGACACCTCACAGCAGTATCCCTGCTAATGCGACGGCAGCCTGTAGTCAAACTAGAGAGTCAAGTGATCGATGGACCCGAAAATCCAGTGACACTTGTTTTGTAGAAACTAAAAATAATTATGTTAATTGTGAATTACGTCTGATGCGTACAAGTGCAGTGATTCTGCTGTTTATAAGCACAGGTTTTACGTTTAAGAAATATGTTCGCTTTGCAACACAGTAGGGGGTGGTGGTGGGGAGTTGAGGAGTTTGAATTTTTACGCAGTTTACTTAGCATAATTGGAAAATACTTCGGAGCTTATGATGAAGCTCCATCGCCCGAAACATCCACGCAGTTCACGTAAAGATAAAACGTCAAAGACAGTGAACAATTGATTATGCGCCGAAACATCTGTGAATGCCGAGGACACCACGTAGAATTTCCTGAGGTACACGATCAGCACAAAAATATTTCCGAAAATACCCAGAACCATTAGGACGACCAGATATACCACATCTGGTATCGGTTCACAGCATTATATCAACGAGGTTGTATGAGGTTGATTTTTTTTTATAAACCATAATAGTTATTATAAACATCAACAAGAAATAGTTTATGAATATTAAGAAATCGATATATGACGCCATTTGGCTTACTTGGAACATTAATTTGCTCATTATACGGACCGCCTCCACGGTCAGTGCTAGAATGTCTGCCAAAAGCGGAAGGTCCAGGGTTCGATCCCCGACCGCGTCATACCGAAAAGACGTTTAAAAGATGGTATACACACACATGCATGCACGTCGCCATATAAGTGTCAATAATCCTGAGCGCGACGATAAACCCCATTTCAGCTCATCTTACCTCTTCATCCGTAATTGAAACATTTTATTATGATTATAAACATGTTCTATTGATTTTGTATCCGAACGATAAATTTATTTCATGAAAAAAAGTGCACACATAAAGACAGTTTACTAGAAATATACTAAATACTATACTTGCAAATAACACTGACAACAAAATACTAGACGTACACATTTCCAAAATCAAATCACATTCATTTTAAATACTTACCAACCAAGGAAGTAGGTTGCCTATATGCATGCAGATCAGCTGTAGATAGCTCCGAGACTGGTCCCAGTACATACAACACATCAAGGTTGTTATTCAACAGGATTTATTTCTTCCTCGTGCTAAATGGAGATTTTAACATATATTGGTCAAACATGTTGCCAACTAGAAGGCAGTCCCTGAACAGATTGATACATGTAAACTCGTATGTGAAAACTGGGCCATTGTCCGTGTGCAACCATGTATAGGTAATCAAAACTAACAAAATGTACGATTTGCAGTTGTTTAGCTCACCGTCCCTGGATCATATCATTTACCTTCCGCCAAGCCTTCACTTTAAGGCAATAGGACTACATGAACAGTCTAGATTTTCGACAGGTTCTTTGGGGGCTCATTTTTAATTTTAATTCAACTTAAATGTCAGTGCCAATTAACTGTTGGCTTCCCTTCTTCCACCTTTCTTATCTCATTACTTTTGTTGTTCTTACATGTACATATTTGCTCTCTGCCTCATAGCATGTATTCATTTGATGAAGGAGTAAGTTTATACTTCGAAAAGTTGTGTTCCTCATAAAAAAGAAGTTGACATCCATAAATAATCTTCCTAAAAAGAAGTTGTTTGTTTCTTGGAAAATGATATATTTTCAGAGACTAAGCCTTAGTCTACCTGTGCAGATGTAGTAGTAGCTGAGTGAATATTAATAAAGGAAACAAACTTAGTAAATGAAAGAATTTTTAACACTTTCCATAATCATACGAAATCACTGCTAAAAAGGGGAAAGGTAATTCTTGAATGTGTAAATGTACTCCTCACCAGCAGCAGTACACGTGTACGTAGAGGACAAAGTCACACTCCACTGTTTCCTTGGTGTAGTTGATGTACGTGTTGTTCTCACATCACTCTTTGGAACAACATGTGGACAACATGCACTGTTTCCTTGGTGTAGTTGATGTGCGCGTTGTTCTCACATCACTCTTTGGAACAACATGTGGACAACATGCACTGTTTCCTGGGTGTAGATGATATGCGCGTTGTTCTCACATCACTCTTTGGAACAACATGTGGACAACGTGCACTGTTTGCTTGGTGTAGATGGTGTACGTGTTGTTCTCACATCACTCTTTGGAACAACACGTGGACAACATGCACTGTTTCCTTGGTGTAGATGATGTGCGTGTTGTTCTCACATCACTCTTTGGAACAACACGTGGACAACATGCACTGTTTCCTTGGTGTAGATGATGTGCGTGTTGTTCTCACATCACTCTTTGGAACAACACGTGGACAACATGCACTGTTTCCTTGGTGTAGTTGATGTACGTGTTGTTCTCACATCACTCTTTGGAACAACATGTGGACAACATGCACTGTTTCCTTGGTGTAGTTGATGTGCGCGTTGTTCTCACATCACTCTTTGGAACAACACGTGGACAACATGCACTGTTTCCTTGGTGTAGTTGATGTACGTGTTGTTCTCACATCACTCTTTGGAACAGCACGTGGTCAACATGCACTGTTTGCTTGGTGTAGATGATGTACGTGTTGTTCTCACATCACTCTTTGGAACAACATGTGGACAACATGCACTGTTTGCTTGGTGTAGATGATGTACGTGTTGTTCTCACATCACTCTTTGGAACAACACGTGGACAACATGCACTGTTTGCTTGGTGTAGATGATGTGCGCGTTGTTCTCACATCACTCTTTGGAACAACATGTGGACAACATGCACTGTTTCCTTGGTGTAGATGATGTACGTGTTGTTCTCACATCACTCTTTGGAACAACATGTGGACAACATGCACTGTTTGCTTGGTGTAGATGATGTGCGCGTTGTTCTCACATCACTCTTTGGAACAACACGTGGACAACATGCACTGTTTGCTTGGTGTAGATGATGTGCGCGTTGTTCTCACATCACTCTTTGGAGCAACACGTGGACAACATGCACTGTTTCCTGGGTGTAGATGATATGCGCGTTGTTCTCACATCACTCTTTGGAACAACATTTGGACAACATGCACTGTTTCCTTGGTGTAGATGATGTACGTGTTGTTCTCACATCACTCTTTGGAACAACATGTGGACAACATGCACTGTTTCCTTGGTGTAGATGATGTACGTGTTGTTCTCACATCACTCTTTGGAGCAACATGTGGACAACATGCACTGTTTCCTGGGTGTAGATGATATGCGCGTTGTTCTCACATCACTCTTTGGAACAACATGTGGACAACATGCACTGTTTCCTTGGTGTAGATGATGTACGTGTTGTTCTCACATCACTCTTTGGAACAACACGTGGACAACATGCACTGTTTCCTTGGTGTAGATGAAATGCGCGTTGTTCTCACATCACTCTTTGGAACAACATGTGGACAAGATGCACTGTTTCCTTGGTGTAGATGATATGCGCGTTGTTCTCACATCACTCTTTGGAACAACACGTGGACAACATGCACTGTTTCCTTGGTGTAGATGATGTACGTGTTGTTCTCACATCACTCTTTGGAACAACATGTGGACAACATGCACTGTTTCCTTGGTGTAGTTGATGTGCGCGTTGTTCTCACATCACTCTTTGGAACAACACGTGGACAACATGCACTGTTTCCTTGGTGTAGTTGATGTACGTGTTGTTCTCACATCACTCTTTGGAACAGCACGTGGTCAACATGCACTGTTTGCTTGGTGTAGATGATGTACGTGTTGTTCTCACATCACTCTTTGGAACAACATGTGGACAACATGCACTGTTTCCTTGGTGTAGATGATGTACGTGTTGTTCTCACATCACTCTTTGGAACAACATGTGGACAACATGCACTGTTTCCTTGGTGTAGATGATGTGCGCGTTGTTCTCACATCACTCTTTGGAACAACATGTGGACAACATGCACTGTTTCCTTGGTGTAGATGATGTGCGGTATGTGACCTTACATCTTTCAAACATTGTTGGATCGCCTTCTCATCGCCAATGTTCTATTAAGTCCAAAGTGGGCCAATGTATGGATATCCTCTGTGACCCTATGGTAAGCTGTCTCAACTGAATGAATCCTTGTATAATAAACACAGGTAACTCCACTTCATGTGAAATATGCCATCACAAGAAATGTTATCTTCCCTTTGACAAAGTCACATTTAGCAACATCTACACTCCTACATGCACATTTAGATGGTTTGAAAATGTGTTTTAAACATGTTAGGTGATAGGGCTCTTTGAATGATTGTTAGCCATCGGTTAAAGAATTATACCACTCAGATCCCCGCATCGCAGTTTGAGTGACCATTTTAATGATTAAACGTCGGATCCTGTCGTGGTCTAACCGATACACAATCGGTTCTTTTCACAAATCATTTCCCACACAAGAACGCACGGAATTTTCACACTGACCATAGAAATTTGTAAAGCTTTTCTGTTGATAGTCGAGTACACCTTCTCATTGTGAAGCAAAATTTGCCGGACATCCAACATCAGCTAGACCCGTCCCACTCAAACAAACGATTTGTATAAACGAATGCTAGTGCTCTGTCATCAACATTTGGATGAGTTAATAAAGATGCAGATGACTCAACGAAATTGCCATGTCCGACAAACAAGGCGTGAACGTTTGCAAACACTGCAAAGTCCGAGAAAAGATCGTTACTGTTCCCATGTACGATGAGTTGGATACTGAAAGCTCTCCAACTTGCATCACCTGTCTGTACTCCAGAACGTAATATCTTGAAACAAAGGTAGTCGACGCTCTCTCAGATGTGAAGACGAACCAGCACGTCCATTCAATACACCATGCATGAGCCCCTGAAATGCCAATGGTGTCTCGACCGCCAACAACCGACATATTCGCATTCTCCTTTAGCTGCACCTTGTACTCATGCTCCTTCACATTCATCATGCATGTCTAATAGATTAGCCTTGTATTTGCATGGCTAATCTCTGGCTGAATTTGATATATCTGTTCACAATCAAGCGCCTCCTAGTAGGAGTGATGGATTACAACAATTAACAACTGGCAGATATTGATACACCTATACACCAGTAGTATATTGCAAACCTGGAAAGTACTGCGACAACTGTGAGCGATACACACTCGCAATAGTTTCACGATCATGACGCTGTTATTTGTGCAGACCAACAAGAAACAAACAATGCAAGGAAGCATATTTCGTATACAGTCGTGCCTCGTTAATACGGACACTTGCGTCATTTCACAATTCGTCCGTATAAACGAATTTCCGTATAACTGAAACCAGCTTCTTACTGGAAGAGTTACTTCCCTTCAATTATGCAACTCATGACAGATGACAGAGCAAACAGATACATGATATACACTAATTCCTACATTATACACTATGTCTGGATTTAAATCGAGTGAGCCACCCACGATAATGTGCAAAGTCAGAAATGTCCCTTTTGCCACCAAAATCGCGAGCTTTCTCTTTCAGTATTCCACACATTGTCAAACAATCCGGAACATGACTAAATAAATAATCCCTGATATCACTCAGTGTCAATAGTCTAATCAGGAAAGTTCAACAACCTGCCACATCTCGTCAGTTTCCTTCAGAACACTGAGTAGTGCAGACATACGCCTGCCTTATAACCTACTGTTATATGAACACACTACTCCCTTCCTTGTCAACTACAACACATTCATATAACTAAAACAAATCAATGATAGATACTGAGCTACCTTTTCAACACGCTGCTTTCTACTCATAAAAAATAAATAATCCCATCGACATGGTGTCGCAAAACATTCCAGACGCAGTTAAGACTATTGTTACGCACACGCTATAATTTCAGAGCGCCAAACTTTCCAGATTTACGATATGTATTCATCATCTACCAACTGACAAACCAATTCTGAACTTACTTAATAAAAGTAGTTTTGTCACGGTCCATTTCGCTGCCACCGCAATGTGTGTGCTGACTGGCGCCTCTACCGTACAGACAACGACACAGACACAACAGGAACGTTTCCCCAACGGCGTACAGGTACCAAGTGACATGTATAATATGACACATGCACATGAACACGAGGGGCGAGTATTGACGAACACTAAAAGGTCGTCGAACTCATTTACAGGAACACGAGTGACACGTTTTGACGAACACCAAAAGGTCATCGATTACATTTACAGGAACACGAGTGACACGTTTTGACGAACACCAAAAGGTCATCGATTACATGTACAGGAACACGAGTGACACGTTTTGACGAACACTAAAAGGTCATCGAACACATGTACAGGAACACGAGTGACACGTTTTGACGAACACTAAAAGGTCATCGAATACATGTACAGGAACACGAGTGACACGTTTTGACGAACACTAAAAGGTCATCGAATACATGTACAGGAACACGAGTGACACGTTTTGACGAACACTAAAAGGTCATCGAATACATGTACAGGAACACGAGTGACACGTTTCGATGAACACTAAAAGGTCATCGAATACATGTACAGGAACACGAGTGACACGTTTCGATGAACACTAAAAGGTAATCGAACACATTTACAGGAACACGAGTGATACGTTTTGACGAACATCGAACACTGAACGCTGATATTCCTTCTTATTAACCACACACAAAAGCTGGGATTATGTCTGAATACTCGTATGTTTTAGATGTTATAATTAGTAAGACTACCTGACGTAAATGCTTGGTGCTGTCCAACCGGCGAAAGCGACACAATTCACTGCGCAGGCGTTCTAGAATCAGGGAATCACCGTTTATGATTCTTGGTTTGTTGGCACCTTACTCATGCTTGTGGGTGTCACAAAAAGGCTAAAAGTCTAAGACCTGCGTGAACCTTGGCTATAAATGCACTTCGATATCAAGCTGACCACAGATATATAGATACATTTAAATAATACACATACTGAAGTTCTACGAGAAAATAATTAAACGAACCTTATCGCATGTATGCATGCCATTTCTAACGTATAAAGTACGCTTCGTCCTGACTGACGCTAAATACAACCTACTCACTTCTGACACAATGTAACTATCGTACTAGTGCTAAACTTGAATAAAAAATAGAAAGTTGTATTGATTGATAATATGTATTTATTATGTATCTATTCTATAAACAGTTATCATATTTTTTTCTATTTAGTTATTTGTGACATGTTGAGTGTTTCAACAAGCTTTAACTTACAGTTTGTATGTTAGAACAAGAACACAATTCTGAAAATCATAGGATAATTTTTAAATAAAACAAACATGTCATAGGTGAGTTTCATCTCATCTCAAATTCAGGAGAATACTTCTAGGTATATGTTTGCATGTGCGACGAAGCATCTGTACACCTTTATTAGTGTATTATATCTTCAATTTATTAGGAGGAATACCCCGGGCCAAGACAAAGTGGCTTATACGAGAACATTTCAATAAAAAATAGTCAATTCCGTTTATTTGAGTACAACTATTGGGGGGCATGGATGGCCCAGTCGTCTAAGGCGCCGCGATTCGCTGTGTCCCTTGGGCACGCCAGAAACCTATGATTGTGGGTTCGAATCCCGGTTCGCCCCGATTTTGTTTCTAGCTTTGTCAGCACCAAACCCGTGCTCGAAGTGGTACACGTCTGAGACCTGCATCACGTCGGGCTTTCCTCCCACATTGTGCTGACACGCCGTGATATACTGGAATACTGTTAAAAGCGGCGTTAAACCCATCTCACTCACTGATGAGTACAACTATTTACAGAAATTTCAACCATCTTGGTTTTCTGGCGATGTTTAACTGATACGGCATATCCAGATTACCATATTCATGTTAAGCCAGTTGAATATGTCTTTCGTCCTTCTGTGTGTGGATTATCCATCCTGATTTGGTTTCAGAAATTACATTTGGGATATATATATATTGATTTACATTTTTTCTACTAAGATATCATTAAACCTACCACCCAGAAGACTACTGGTTCTTTGTAATAGCAAAATCTGTAATATCTGAGTTAAAAAATGATGAAATGACAATGATATTGATTGAGGCCCATCTAAAGCATTACTTTGTTGTTGTAAGAGCTGTTATTGGTGGTGGTTTGTGAAGTGTGGTTTTTTTTAGGTAGGGTAGTAGAGTTTGTTTTGCTTTATATTTTTTATTGATTTTCTTTTGCTTTGCTGTTCTTTTATATTTTCTTCTTCTTTTTTTATTTCTTTTTTTTTTTTATTTATATTTTTTTTTTTTTTTTTTTTTTGGGGGGGGGGGGGGGGGGGGGGGGTCTGTGACAACAATTAAATATACAGTCAAGGAGGTGAGGTGAGGTGGATGGGTCTCTCGTTCCGCGTGTGTGTACGCGGGCATGCTTGTACTAGCCCGGACTACTGCCGGTATAATACTGCAAAACATGCCGAATAGATATCCCACTCATACTTTATCGACTTGTTCAATTTTGAGTGATAGACACGGTAACAACAAGCACCGGTTTCTAACATCTTTTGGTATGACGAGGTGGTCGGTGGTCAAACCACTGACCGTTCGCTCTCCGTACAGGCACTCTGTCCACCAGACCACGGAGGCGATTTTAAACGCAAGGAATATGAAAACAATGGGTCAAAAGCCGAATGTATTTAACAGCGTTTAAAAGGCATTACTAAGAGTGACTGAGCTGGGTCTAACGCCGCTTTGGACACTTTTTCAGTTTCATTACGACATTACGACTTGTCAGGGAGTAGTGCAGATCATTGACGTTGGTCACGTACAGACGAACCCACGAGCACGGATATGGTGCTGAAACAGAAAAGGAAATACAATCAGGGCGGACTTAAATTCGAACCATCACCCGTGCGCCGTAATGCTTAGACCGCGAACTTGGCTATTAATGTTCGTTATCAACAATTATCCATTTAAAACCTTTTCATTCGTCCTTTCTGAACCATCAGAATCGAAACAGCGACTAAAAATAATCCATAGTGAAACTCCTAGTTGCATTTCCTTGTAATCATCACAAACAAGGAAGGCAGGCCAGTTGTGACTTCAGTTAAACAGACGCCGGGAAGTAACCGGGAGATACAACAGACGCTTTGTGAGTACAATGACTAATGTTGTTTTTTATAATACACACTAACGGGAAAATAGTAATCATGCTTCATATAAAGTTGGACCCGTGAAGATTCGGGGCAGAATAGGTCTTCAGCAACTCACGCTTGCCGTAAAAGGAGACTATGCTCGCCGTAAAAGGAGACTATGCTCGCCTTAAAAGGAGACTATGCTCGCCGTAAAAGGAGACTATGCTCGCCGTAAAAGGCGACTATGCTCGCCGTAAAAGGAGACTATGCTCGCCGTAAAAGGAGACTATGCTCGCCGTAAAAGGAGACAAACGGGATCGGGCGGTGACGCTCGCTGACTTAGTTAATGCATGTCATTGTATCCCAATGATGATGCTCAGGATATCAATCACTGGATTGTCCGGTTCAGACTCGATTATTGTTATTGCTGGAATATTGCTGAGTGCGGTGTTAAACAACAACGAAACAAACAAATCTTATAAAGCTGTGTAAATGATATGTTATTGAAAATAACGACACAATATGTTGTCATATGTTTGATCAATGTCTACCGTCGTCCTGTGGTAGAGCGTCCGCCAGGAGTGGGGAAGGTCCGGGGTTCGTGCACGTCGCTATACAAGTTCAATAATCTGGATCGCGATGTTAAACCCCATTTCACCTCACCTCGTAACAAATTCATTGACAAAACCCATTCCTGGTAACATGAAACAAAAACCCGACCTATAAGGGTGGTGTAATAAGTTAACTCAATTAACAATAGTCTATATCGGGTGTGACCACCATTTGCGTTGACACAGACGAAGACACCAGCTGATTGAAAACAGCCTGGAAGATGTTGTTCCAATTCTCAACCAAACATTGACCCTACTGAGTTGGCGTTGCCGGCTGGTTCTGGTCCTGAGGTTGTTGGTGTCGTTCAATCCCATCTATCCCAGGGGGCGGTCGGGTAGCCAAGTGGTTAAAGCGTTCGCTCGTCACGCCGAAGACCCGGGTTCGATTCCTAACATGGGTACAATGTGTGAAGCCCATTTCTGGTGTCCCCCGCCGTGATATTGCTGGAATATTTCTAAAAGCGGCGTAAAACCAAAACTCACTCACTCATTCACTCACTCATCTATCCCAGGCATGTTCTATGGGGTAGATGTTGTGTGAAACAGCCGGCCATGGCTGTACAGTAATGTTAAACTGCTTCAAAACGTATATTACAAAACGTGCTATCCTGCTGCAACGTGTCGTTACGTCCCTGCACATACAACATGATTTCGAACGATGTCATCCCGGTAGCGTACGCTATTTAAATTGGCATTAACAATGATGACTTATGGTCTGCCATGAGTTGTGATGCCGTTTCATACCATTACAGTTTCACCCCTAAACTGACGACGTTGAGTAATGCAAGCGTCGTTAAAACATTCTCCTGAACGCCTGTTGACCTTGCACGACCCCCAGAGATGTTCAGATGAAACCTGGACTTCTCTGTGAACATTATATTGTCCCAGTCTTGTCTTCAAAACCTCAGAGACCCGTCAAGATCCGGGGTAGAATAGGTCTTCAGCAACCTATGCTTGCCGTAAGAGGCGACTAACGAGATCGGGTGGTCAGGTTCGCTGACTTGGTTGATGCATCCTCATCGTGTCCCTATTGCGTGGATCGATGCTCATGATGTCAATCACTGGAAAGTCGGGTCCAGACTCGATTATTAACAGACCGCCGTCATACAGCTGGAATCTTGCTGTGTGTGGCGTTAAACAAGGCGTGACTGACGGGGACGTGGAAGTTACAATGTCGCGCTCCCTCAATCGGTTGCGTAAGGTTCTGCCAGGGATTGTCCGAGCTGTTAATGTGGGAGCTTCACATCGATTCCGTGGATGCACCAACCTAATATGGTTGTCTTAATGACATGACATCACTCGTGGACAACCGGCCCGTGTCAAGTCATGAGTCTTGCCCTGCTGTACATAACGTCTCCGAAGAGAAATGACTTTGTGTTTCGATGAAAATTGAAACGTCTGTCAAGCTCGTTTTACGCCAACGCTGTTTGGGGAATACGTGCACGTGGAAATTGTGATTTCGACCTTAAATTGCATTATTTAATTTCAGATTAAATGAGCTTTTTTAGTGAACTTTATGTGAAACAGTTACCTTTTTCGTTAAAATGTAAAATAATACATGTTTTTTTAAAAGGCTATTTATTAAACGAAGAACGAAATGAGAAAAATGAATGGAACATAGGAAAGGGAATATTTTTTTTAGATAGGTAATATGGTCTTAACATGGAGTTTCTTTCGAACATTAAATCCTTACTGTTTCTATCAATTCCGAAAGCTTATTTGCTGATTCACACGTTTGTTTATTATCTACATATACGTGTGTTATTTTACAGACGGAGATGTACTACTCATGTTTTTAATTTTTGTTTATAAGAAATAAACACGTCCCATTTTAATTCTGGAAACCCAAAAGTCCAGAAACTCTACGCTCTTTGCTCAGTCTCGGTTAAAGGTATTTACAAAATTAAACATGCCGTTTTCATGGGAACATACCAAGGAAGAAAAAATGAAAAAAAAATTGTTTAAAAACTCAATATTTCGACTATGTCGCCCATGGGCCTGCCCATGGGCGAAGTCTGGCCCATGGGTATGCCCATGGGCAGGCCCATGGGCGAGAATATGTTCCTTTACTTAAAACTCATGTTTTTGTTTCGCAAATACATTTAATGTATTTATTGAAGTATCATGACACAAAATTTAACTCATTTTAACTTAATTCAACGATTTTATAGCCATATTGAAATATTTCGCCCATGGGCGAGAAAAAGGTTTGGCCCATGGGCGAGAATATGTTCCTTTACTTAAAACTCATGATTTTGTTTCGCAAATACATTAAATGTATTCATTCAAGTATCATGACACAAAATTTAACTCATTTTAACTTAATTCAACTATTTTATAGCGATATTGAAATATTTCGCCCATGGGCGAGAAAAAGGTTTGGCCCATGGGTAGGCCCATGGGTAGGCCCATGGGCAGGCCCATGGGCGAGAATATGTTCCTTTACTTAAAACTCATGTTTTTGTTTCGCAAATACATTTAATGTATTCATTCAAGTACCATGACACCAAATTTAACTCATTTTAACTTAATTCAACGATTTTATAGCGATATTGAAATATTTCGCCCATGGGCGAGAAAAGGTTTGGCCCATGGGCAGGCCCATGGGCGAGAACATGTTCCTTTACTCAAAACTCATGTTTTTGTTTCGCAAATACATTAAATGTATTTATTCAAGTATCATGACACAATATTTAACTAATTTTTACTTAATTCAACTATTTTACGGCGTTATTAAAATATTTCGCCCATGTTTTCGTCAGTTCTTTCAAGCATCAACTAACTGTTTGCAAAGTATATTGTATCATGTGAAATATACTTTATATTATATCATTACATTACTATTTAAAAAGGGCATTTGGTTGGATGTTTCCTTTAGTTCTACAAATTTCACCTGTTTTACATGTTGTAGCGATCTTTAATGAACCCGGCCTTACCTCTCAAAACGTTTTGACAGTTTATCATACGAATTCATGTGCGTGTACTCCAATTCATTGGAGTTATTTTCCACAACATTAAATTTTAGTTAGTTTTTATTTCATTTCCCGTTTTATGTCCCGTTGATACATCACACTGGGCAATTACGTGACACTAGGTATGCAATATACAGGTACGCGTGCGCGTATTTTAATGAAAAAAACTATTCGTCTTTTATTGCATAACGTTTGGCTGAATATCTTACATTCTAACGAAATCTCGAAATAATTATTTAATTACATGCGGTTTCGAACTGACCAGTGGGAATTATGTTTCAATGCGATTGAGGAAAACGTGAGTGAATATTGTGACACTAAAGCAACTTTTAACTGCATTGTCACTTTTGGTATGAAAATGGTAACAGTTCAGAAAAAACAACAGCCTTCTTATGATAATTCTCATTAGTACGTTGTATCTAATTACAGTGTCGGCCTTATTTACAGGTGATTCTACAATACCTGCTCTCGGTCAATTACGATCTACCACACCACGCGTGAATAAACAGTTCTGCAGGTGTTGCTGTGGGCAAATACCTAGCCTGAAAATGTTTATTTTTTTTAGGATACATGTTTTACAAATGTTCGTTGATATGTGGATATATTAAGCACAAAGACAAAAAAATGTTTATGAAAGATGAATTAGTGCCTTGATATATTCATCGAGATGTGTATCATCGTTTAATGGGGTCATTCAATAAACGTATGTTTGGAGGAGATATCAAAGGAGCCGCCCAATATACACAGTGTCGTCCGGTGAACTACCACCCCACCCTGTCCATTAGAGTTATGTAATCGGTACACAAATATATTTGATGCGGTGTCAGTGCGGAAGGAGTTTGAATTACGTCCGCCACTTGCCACAGAAATCCTCAAAGTATAGAAACAATAGACAAGGTCAATCCGTACTAATTACCTAGTGACGCACGTAACAACGACTGTCAATAGGGAAAATGGTGAAAACAAATTGAAATAGATTTTAATAAAACATTATTGTACTAAATAACTCGCAAAAGCGGTGCCTAAAATTGTTTGACCGTGTTATGTGTGTTGTAAACTGACGAATAGCAAGTAATTGTCATGCTGTACGCATGGTTCCATATACAAATTCAGTTATACAACCGGTATGAAACTGAGAACTGAGATACCAAGTACAACATTTACATTATTATTATACATTTTGTTCTTTGTTTACTGTTTCCTCCACACAAGTTACATGTATTGGGAGAATGCAGCAGGAAGAATAAAAAACAACATTGGACTAAAGTTTCCAGACATTATCGTAGTTTTATTTGCTATTTCCCCCTTTAATGGAAAAACGATAAGCTTTATCAAATCATTGTAAGGCCGCAAATACTTGTATACGAATAACTCTGTTGTGAGGAGAAATGTTTAATATATTGATACAGATTTTGCTTACATTTTCAAGCACTGTATTGATAGAATATTTACATTGATACCGTTCATTTATGTTTCATTTTAAAGTTTTCTATTTCCTCAATATGTATAAACGGATAGATAACACTGACAGCCCCGTAGCGATTCCCAGTTCCCACCCATGTCGTAATAGGCGAATCGCTGAGTTTCGCATTAAACAAACAAACAAGCCTAAGTTGGCAACTCTCTCGTTCATATTATCTACTTCTACCTTGACTGTAACCTTGATCAAACAAGCTTTGAGCAAGAGTCGTATGACGCACTTTGAAATCTTCGCAGAAAGAGGGGGCAAGGTTGGCCCAGTCGTTTAAGTCGCCGCGATTCGCTGTGCAGAGTTGCGTCCCTTGGGCACGCCAGAAATCTATGGTTGTGGGTTTGAATCCCGATTCGCCCCGATTATGTTTCTAGGTTTGTCAGCACCATACCCGCGCTCGAGGGATTCACCGAAGTGGTAAACGTCTGAGACCTGCATCACTACGGGTTTCCCTCCCACATTAAGCTGACACGCCGTGATATAATTGGAATACTGTTAAAAAGGCGTAAAACCCAACTCACCCGCTCACTCGAAGAAAGAGCATACTAGATTGTACCATTCTTGTCATACAGTTTAGCGGAGATTTGTTTGTCACTCTGAATCTTTATGCACATACATAAATATGAAACAGACAGTGGGTAAATCGGTGGGAGGGAAGTTGCTATTGGACCATTATTAAACAATATAAGATCATTGATACACCTGGAACTTGCCTTAAACTTCTTGGCCAAATTACCTTGTTGTGATTTTGCCAATCCGAGTAGAAATTCCTTACCATATGCATAAAAAACAGATCAGCAAGAAGGGGAGAACTATCTGTGGCCATGAAGATGCTTACTTGATGGTGTTACCTGTGCATATCCATTTCAGTAACTTCAGTACAAAATATATCTGAATTATATGATTTCTTTTCTCTTCCAGGTCCATATAAAAGACTTTCCCCCTCCAACGCCATGGCTGAAACAGATAAAGATGTTCTTTACCTCTACAATGACACACATTTGAACAGTGCCCTACCTGCAATTGTATTTCTCTCCTTCATAATGCTTGTAGGTTTCATTGGAAACTCTGTGGTTTGTTTTGTGTACCTAAGGTGTTTCAAACCAAATCCTCTGAGATGTTTTATTATGATAGTGGCGATTTTGGATTTGTTCATATGCGTTATTGATCTTCCACTGGCCATTGTCAACATGAGGTACTTGTACAGCTCTGGGGAGTTTCCTGTACTGTGCAAAGCGTTTCATATGTTCCATGACTTCAGTTTCATGACTTCAATGTTCATACTTGTAGCCATAGCGGTGGAAAGATACAAGAAGATATGCCAGCCCTTTGAAAATCAAATGACAGTACCAAAGGCAAGAATCGTCATCGGTGTTTGTTGTTTGATAGCCTTGCCTTTATCAACCCCTGCTTTCATCATTTATGGAGCACATTCATTCCCCATTAATGCTACCAATGATACCATTCTCAAAGCTACCCAATGTACTCTAGCTGATCTTCACGAGTATCATATTGGCATAATCCATAACATCAGTTTTGTGTTTTGGATTCTACTGGATTTAGGTGTGTTCCTAATCCTCGTTGTGTTGTATTACCTGATGTGGCGGGGGATTTCTCGCCATGTTGATCTGATGAGAAACAAAACTCTTTCAGAAAGCCAAATCAATATGGCATCTGGGTTTACGGAATGCACTTCCGTTCCTGACACCCAGCTAGATGACAACGAGGGAATTACGATGACAAGCACTGCCTCGCGTCGTTCTCATCTTCGTGCCTCCATGCATGAGGGCTCCCGATCGATGAACCAACGCCCAACAATAAATACTCCTCATCGTGGAGGAACTCTTCTAAAACTGACACTAACAATGTTCTATGTGAGTCTGGCCTCATTTTGTGCCTACCTGCCCATTGTCTGCATGATTTTCATTAGTCTACTCAGCCCAAGCATATCCACAGAATTCCGAGAATCGGCTACATGGCTGTATTATATTGTTTTTCAATCGTATTACATCCAGTGTGCTTTCAACCCTCTGATCTACGGTTTCTGTAACACAGCCTTTCGGCATGAGATCAAACGTGCGTTTGAAAAAGTAACTTGAAATTAGGATCAAAATATGTTCTTCTGGTTTAGACAATTGCATGAATCTGTTTTTGCTTTTCCTAAAATGGAGCTTACTATCAATATGTTGACATTATCCATATCTTGAAAATGTTGTTGGCATCAAATCAAAACTTGTTGTCTCCTTTTCCTTCATGGATACGATATCCATACATCATCAAACCATGTATACCTGACTTAATAATATTTCATTTTTCTTCCCTTCATGTACTAAATGTTTGATTTCATTATAACGTATTGTGTTACGACATAAAATATAGACATACGTAGCTTCCAATTTTCTTTCTTTTTCGTTTACTTGATGTGTTCTCAAAAATGAAAATTTGACATGTATTCACACTTTACATACTCAAGTAAATAAGGCGATTAAAATACATTCAGGTAAATCATGATAATATTATGCTTTTGTCCGCCTTCATATGTGTGTAAATGCTTGTTTAAAAGTTCTCTTAGTTTTCAAATGTTTCATCATTGATGGCAATATGACTGGCTGAGTAAGTCGGGTATTGCAATAGTTCTATGTGTCGTGCAAATATCTGGGGAGTCTGTACAGTGATTAGACTATAAGTACATTGTAGCCAAATGGAAATACGCGTGGAACAGTTTCGTATGTTTTGCATCTGTTCAGTGGTGGATCTTGAGCAAATGGTACAGCAGAGAGTGGCTTCTCAAATACCGCAGGAACATGCTATGACGAACATGGTTACACGTATCACGGTGTTGAACTTGATTCTGATGTAATTGCTTTGTGCTGGTGTGGAATCGAATCCAGGACCTGCACATGTCCAGGCAAAAACTCGAGTTCCACGAACTATACATCGCATATCGCTTACTCCACCATTCACATTCGAAACAGATTGCACGATTTCATATAAACTGTATAATTCGTGCAGTCTGTTGTTTAATGCCTGTCTGTTTTAAGGAAAAACGAGAGATTCACTCCACCATAAACTGTATGCTTTACACTTATTTATCGGCATAAAAATGTACTCCACCTGATCAAACTAGTGACCACTCATTGGACGAAAGTATTTACCTGTGCTCTAAACGAACTATAGATAGTTAAGCTACCATGGGAGTGCCTGTTTGTATTCATACTTCCTTGTTACATGGACTGCGCTGTGTTATTACTGACTATACAGAAACGACATTTCTCTTGCGGACAACAATATTCATAAGGGTATAGAGTACTCATATAAAAGCTTATCTGCTGTGTTATATGAACTTTCAGACTGCCAATTATTCTTCCTGGTAACTTAAATGCACGAACTGGTAATTTGAAAGATGTTATTATTGACGATAACAGCAGAAGTTTATAATGTATTAAATATGTATCGGGCTCAACGGACGTGCCTTGTAGTACCAGATATGACGTGTGTAATTGACATAGGAGAGATTTGGTGGACTTTTTTGTTCTTTTGTGTACATTTTCTAAATAGATTTGGTGGCGATAAGAAGGGGTGATTTACCTGTTAGTTGGTTGACTATGTTCCACTTCTCTATTTGAAGATCTCCGACTTTTGCGTACATATTCGCTGTGAACCAGATCACTTCATACGAACCCTTCACGAATGCGACACGCTAATGTTAATGAAATTCATGTCATTAATATTCCTAGATATACTTGGAGAAATCAAATCTGCTCTGCGTTCAGATATAATGTTTCTCAGGCTTTGTTTTCATGTAATATTTGATTGATTATTTCTAAAGATTTTATACCTTAAAATATATACCCGTGGACTCTGATATTATTGAGTAGGTAAATTATGGTATAATGAGAAGCTGTGCGGTTTTTGTACTGATGATGATGTCAATATCATAACTAATAGTGATATTACACATGAAGATATTGAACCGCCCATAAAAGAACTTACGCAGGGTAAAGTCGCGGGACAAGAAGGCCACACACACACACACACACACACACACACACACACACACACACACACACACACACACACACACACACACACACACACACACACACACACACACACACACACACACACACACACACACACACACACACACACACACACACAAACAAACACACACACACACACACACACACACACACACACAAACACACACACACACACAAACACACACACACACACACGTGCATCCACGTCGCTATGTAATAGCAATAATCTTAAATGCGACATTAAACCCCATTTCAGCTCACCTCACCTGAAAGTAGTGGACATTTCTGCTGTATTTATGTAGACTTTAAAATGATATTTTCTCCCGAGATGTCAGTGACAGTCTGTACAAATACTCCTGTATGAAAAGCCAGTAAAGCTCAGTTAGCTATTTAGCATTTACAGCATAAATACCACTACCCACCTATTCCTGTAAATATGTTATTTAAGTTGCTGGAATGTAAAATAAAACTCATTGTGTTATATGGAGCAGAGGTGTGGTGCTTCCAAGAAAGAGCTGTTATTGGTCGATTGCATAATATTTTTTGGTATCGAGTTGTCCATCTTTAACTGACTGTTGTAGGTATGACATTTATATATCAAGGGTAAAGTATTTATTAAAATTGTTAATAATGTCTCATGATCGCTTTCTTTGTTTGTGTGTTTGTTTGTTTGGTTATTGTTTAACGCAATATTCCAACCATATGACGGTGGTCTATACATAATCAGGTCAGGACCAGTCATCATGAGCATCGATCTACGCAACTGGGATACGATGACATTCATCAACCTAGTCAGCGAGCCTGATCACCCGATCCCTTTAGTCGCCTCCTACGGCAATCATAGGTTGCTGATCCATGAAGACCTATTCTCTATGCTTGGGTTAGTCAAAATATTGGAGATAATTCATATATTCTATAAGTGTTCAAGCACAGGTTAGAAGAAATATTTTGAGTGATATGAATGGTTCAACACGACTTCCACATTATTGGAATATTGAGTCATTGCAGATTGTTGAAGTTTATGTGAACTGGGATATTAAGAACTTATATTTGTTATACTTATATTTGCGATACATATGCATCGTTGAGAAATAAGATGAGAATAAACGAATTGGGATTTTCATATTAAATATAATAAATATACAGGTAGATGTGTGTATGTGTGTGTGTGTGTGTGTGAGTGTGTGTGTGTGTGTGTGTGTGTGTGTGTGTGTGTGTGTGTGTGTGTGTGTGTGTGTGTGTGTGTGTGTGTGTGTGTGTGTGTGTGTGTGTGTGTTAAATCAGCAAATGCACCGACATTTTTAAAGTATAAATCCTCATAAATCCACAACATGGTTTCAAGTGTTGTGATTCTGAATCGTGAGGTTTTTGTCATCACGTTTGCACTCAACTATAAAGTCAATAAATGCTGTATTTACAACCTCGCACACTTGACCTCGTGTAGCTATGCTGTCATGAATGTCTCTGCATTTTGTTTGTGTAATCCATATAAATATAAGGGGAGAACGGATGAAGGGGCTGACTAGGTAACTCATGTAAGGCGCCGCTATTCGCGGTGCAGAGTTGCGTCCCCTTAACGTGCCAGAAACCTATTATCGTGGTTTTGAATTCTAGATTCGATTTGGATACACTTCTAGGTCGTCATCACCCCAATCATGGTCGTGGTCTAAGACACGTATCACATCAGGCATTCCTCTCACTATGATTTGATAACAGAAATCACTCACTAATCAGACCAGTACAAGGGGCGGTCGGGTAGCCCAGTGGTTAAAGCGTTCGCTCGTCACGCCGAAGACGCGGGTTCGATTCCCGACATGGGTACAATGTGTGAAGCCCATTTCTGGTGTCCCCCGCCGTGATATTGCTGGAATATTGCTAAAAGCGGCGTAAAACCATACTCACTCACTCAGACCAGTACAATAATCACCATCTTTGGATTGGGCGACGAGTAAGCAAACTAGCCTCTCCAGAGACAGAGGATTGATTACGCATCTGGCTGCTACACTGCCTGCTGCCCATTTTTGGTATCCCCGCCGCGGCATGTCTTCAGTGTTGATGATAACCGTGAACAACCATAATCACGCCTTTAAGCCCGCCTGATTAATAAAAAAGTACCTCCTATTTGCTCTGAACGTTTGCATAAGGCCCGAATATGACCGTTGGTTCGCCATAATCGGTAAGCACCATACCGGCGCTTGTAGTTGTCAGTGTGACCCGTGAAGATCCGGGTTATAATTGTCTTCAGCCACCCATGCTTGTCGTAAGATACGAGAAACGGTATCGGGTGGTCAGGCTCGCTGACTTGGTTGATGCATGTCATCGTATCTCCGTTGTGTAGATCGATGTTCATGGTGTCAATCACTGGATTGTTCAGTCCAGATTCGATTATTTGAAGATAGCTGATATATTGCTAAGTGCGACGTTAAACAACAAACAAACGAAAAAAAGTTGGCAAGGTAAGATTCTGGGTTAGAATTGACCCCCAAGCAACCTATGCCAATCGTAAGAGGCTTCATGGTTAGGGCTGTCAGGCTTGGTGACGTGGTTGATTGCGGGTCATAGTACCCTGGCTGCGTGGATCATTGTTCATAACATGACACACTGGACTGTCTGGTCCAGACTTGCCTTAAGAGACGACTATGCTTGCCGTAAGAGGCGACTAACGGGTTAGGGTGGTCAGGCTCGCTGACTTGGTTAAGGCATGTCATCGATCCCAATTGCGTGAATCGATGCTCATGATATCAATCACTGGATTGTCTTGTCCAGACTCGATTATTTACAGGCCGCCGTCATATAGCTGGAATATTGCCGAGTGCGGTTTTAAAAAGGTGTCATGATATGCTCAACATGGTTTAGACGAAGGCCTGAAATACTGCCAATATGACCTTACATTTGAAATCACTCACTCACTTAATCGTGCCTTTGTTTAAAGCAGTGTTAAACGACATTCGCTCATGACACTAATATTTTATACGGCACACATGTGATGAAACAGTACTTAGTCTGAGTGTCTTCCCGTCAACAAGGAAACAAGTTCCTGTTCGTCATTGCTAATCATACAAGTGATAGCGAAACTGATAAGTAACTGATGAAGCCGAATCTGATTGTTCATTGAGGTCAAATGATACAAGCAAACATGGTTTCCTTATTTCGAGGATGTTGAAGAAATTAACGTCTTCAGTTTTGAAGTCTTTTTTATTTTTATTTACTTCAGGAAACATTAAAATACTGAAACATTAAAACATGAAATATTTCCGCAAGAATATTCATACTTCAAAAACGATACATCGACCTTGTGTGAAATAAAAGCGACAAAACCCTTTTAATAGCCACAAGAAATATCTGCTGAAAGCAGAGTCGATTGTACGATTCGACCATATCATGAGCACGTGTGTATGAATCACTATCAAATAGTGATGATACCAGGTGTTCGCGAGAAGGTGAGCGCATCCTGCCCCACCGGTGGCACGCGTCACATGCAAAGGCAAACAAGTGTCAACCCGAACAAACATGGAAAGACACGACACAAGAGGGAACACCATCGAACACCATTTAGTCACTGATGCGTTAAATTTGAAACAAAATCTCTTCCATGTGGAATATAGCTCGAAGGTTACTAGGTGCGGTTTTAAAGGGGTGTTTACGCATGCGTCACTTTTGGTGCTGCTCTCACATGGTTGAGATGCCTGAGCTGTGCTCGTCAAGTGAACATACCGAAAGACTGCCGATGTGACTTTACATTTTAACTATCTTACTCACTCAGGTGTGCCTTTGTTTACTCATAACAGCATCATGTTTTTTTTAACATCACACATGTGATGAAACAGTACAAAGTCTGAATCTCTTCCTGTAAACAAGGAAAGGCCACGTTCCTGTACCCCATTGCTAATTGAATCCGACTGCATCAAGAGCTCGTGTTTATACGTCATTATCAAATAGTGACGAAACCAGATGTTCGCGAAAAGGTTATCGCATCCTGCCCCACCGGTGGCACCCATCACAAACACATGCAAGGGCAATTCAATTATTCACCTAAAAAACGGGAACATGTTGTACAAGTCAAACTAGGGAATTGCATGGGACATCATTTTTGTGACTGATGCATCAAACTGGAAACTGTACTCGACATGCCGACCATAAAACTGAAAGCACTACTGGGGTCTTGAATGTTGCAACCTTGACGCTCTTTGAAATCTTTGTAGGAAGCGCATGCTCTCTTGTACAGAAAACGTTGCGGAATGCAGACACCTAAGGCTGGAGCTGCATATATTGGTATATGTATGTACTTCATAATGCGCATCGAGTTATATTGGCAAATTAATGGCATTGTTATGTCATTTCCCCATATATATATATATATATATATATATATATATATATATATATATATATATATATATATATATATATATATATATATATATCTTACTAGTCACGTTACTGTCACAGAGGTTTAAGAGGTTTTGCATGATAATATTTGTATAACATGTCATATCATCCTCCATAAATGCAGTATACGTTTTAACATGTGAAATGTGACATGTCATTCCATGTGATACAATGGACACGGTCTGTTTATTTCAAATTCAGCTTTGCACAGCGTACATTCAAAGCCTGACTCTATTATCTGTCTATCTAAGCACTCATTTTGTTCTCAACCTGTCAAGAATTGGGGACATATTTGACAACGCTAGTCAAGATTAGCATAATCATATATTTTAGAACACAAATACAATTACCAGTTAAATAATCTGAATACATGTATAAGACCACCGGTATGTTTATTCCTTATGATTATTTGTTACAACCGCAGACCTTAAAAATATGATCATTTCACATTTGAGCTGTCTGTTCAATGATAGAATGATCTTAAATTACGAAGGAAGATGCAAATGCGATAGGACATTTGATATCGTCTTTGTTACTCAAAACAAAACATGTCAAATGTAGGTCTTGACGTCGGACATTGTGATGCTCCGCGTAGAATCCATATTGAACACATTCATCAAGAAAATGATGTAAACGAAGCTTCTTGGGTAATTTGAACACGACGACGTCTACAGCATAGAACAGTATTAAAAAGCCACACACATTCTTCCCTGAACTTGTAGTTGAGGACACCGTATATAATTGGATTAGCCACAGAGTTGACAAAATAGGAACGGATGAATATATTGAATGCAACAAGGGAAGATCCCCTTAAGTCATGGTCGAAGTCTTTTATGATGGCTCTGGTGCACATGAGAGCAAGATGAGGAAGGAAGCTTAACACAAATACAACCGTCACCAGGAATGCAATCACAGTGGTTTTATTCCGTCGCTCGCTCTTCTTGAAACTGCTCATATTGGCAGTTTTATATTGTGGTTCGGAAATATTTTTGTTTGACATTTCTATTGTTGAAACAACCGTATCTGATGCAAAAGAAGCCCGTGCTTTCATATGGATTCTGTGAATCCTTATTGCCTTTAAGATGAACACATATAACACCAAGAGCACAGTCGTTGTGACCAGGAGACCAGCCACCAACACAATGTTATAGATTAGAGGGTACTTTGTACCAATCATTTGATCTGCTGTTGAACAGTCCTTGCCGGTAATGTTTTTAACATCTGTATCCGCAGATCGTATCCCATAGATGAGCAGGGAGGGCCATGAAAATCCAAGTGCAACGAACACAACAACAACAATCCAGATCTTTACATGCTTCACCTTCACCTGGTTAGTTAAAGGGCGGCATACTTTGATGTATCGGTCAATTGCGATACCAAGTAATGTAAATACTGAACACATCGCACAGAAGGTCGTCACAAAGGTTAATAATTTACAAGCAAATACTGAATTAAACATATAGAAGTAACGGACGTCCACAATCTCCGTGGGCATTGCAATCATGCAGCTGATCAGATCAAATATGGCCAGACATGTTATGAGGAAGTTCTGCGTTCCTCGTCTGAATTTGAAGATGAAGACGTAGACAACCATGGCGTTGCCGATGAAACCAACGATCATCAACACTCCTATGTACAGCATGACTGGAAGCAGGGTTATGGCCATAGCGTCATTGACGTCCTCTAGGGTTCTGGTCACATTCAAAGGAGGATCAGTGACGTTCGAGGAAGACGTTGTCTGGTCCATCGTGATAATCATTCCTGTTTAGGCCTTTGGTTGTTCTGAGCGTAGTTTCAGGCAATATTCCAACTATATCACTATTTGGGACACCAGAAATGGGCTTCAAACATTTGATGTAAGAGTTAAAGGTTGGCAGATGAGGAATATTTGAAATATTGCTATGATTCGTAACTAGAACCGTTGTTCAGCAGCATCAGAACCGGATCATCCATTTTCATATCCGTTGTCCATGGAAAGCAGCCAGTGTTTTCACGGCAGGTGGGTATATGACACGATATACGTCCGAACTGACCTGGAAAACATAATGTAACATTAGTTAAACATGCCACGAACAAAACGTTAATCGTTTTTGATTATTTAGAAGGGCTAAACTCTATGGTACGATACTTATCTTCAGGCAAGGTGAAGGGGTGGAGAGGTAGCCTAGTGGTTAAAGCGTTCGCTCATCACGCAAAATGCCCGGGTTCGGTTACCCACATGGATACAATGTTTGAACCCAATTGCTGGTGCTCCCCACCATGATATTGCTGGAATATTGATAAAAGAGGAAAAAAGTTATACCCTCTCACCCGCATCAGTCTAGCTTTCGTTTTCCTAATTGCCCTGCTTCTTTCATAAAAGGGGCACGGGTGGCCCAGTCGTCTAAGGCGTCGCGATTCGCTGTGCAGAGTTGCGTCCTTTGGGCACGCTAGAAACCTATGATTGTGGGTTCGAATCCCTGTTCGCCCCGATTATGTTTCTAGGTTTGTCAGCACCATACCCGTGCTCGTGGGTTTCGCCGAAGTAGTAAACGTCTGAGACCTGTATCACTTCGGGCTCTACTCCCATATTAAGCTGACACGCCGCGATATAACTTGAATACTGTTAAAATCGGCGTAATAACCCAAATCACTCACTCACTCACTCACTCACTCACTCACTCTTGCATAAAAAGACGGGGTTGGGGTTGGGGGTTGTGATCGTAATTATCGACACAACTTTTTTTGAAGCACATCCAGCATGACGTATTTGTAAAAAGATTACCAATATTATACACCACCGCCACCCCTACCAATACCCACCCCACAGCAACCCTCCACTCCGTCAAACAGCCTATCAGGTGATTGGTCCCTAACTCGCTAGAATGACATTGACAGTAAAACATACAGTTATGTCGAGTAGGGATTTTCCGCTACACCTGTAGTACATTGAAACAAGGTTAAAACGAAAACACCACTCAACAAACATTGCGATCATAAATTACATTCACCTTACGTGAGGACGCGACACGAGTGTCGGTGATTCGAATGGGTAACTAGTATATACAAGGCCGTAGTTAACTTTGTTTTGACAGGGGGGGTCATATATTTGTACAACTGTTTTCTATATAAAAAAAATCCAAATAAGGCATATATGCGAAACGATCACATTTTAATAGCTACCAGTCTGAGGTCCTGGTTGACCCAAGCCTTGGGACATCAAATTGGTCGCTGATGCGTCAAATTATGAATGTCCTCTACATGTCTACCATAACCTTTTTGAAAGATTTACTGAGGCCTTGACTGAGCAAAGAGTCGTAAGACACTTTTTACAATGTGTGGCCTGATGATCGAGCCCCGTCGGATTTTGTTCATGGTGTCAGCCACCGGTACGCCTGTCCAGACTGGTGATATAACACGTATATGTATCCGGCTTAAAACAACATTCACTCACTGACTTAGATACAAGACTTTCACCTAAAATGTCTCTTATATATGACAGAAACCAGTTAATGACCATATACTTGCCTTTGACGCCTCCATTAGACGGATACAGCTAACCGCAGAATGAGTGTTGTCATGATTGATTGGGCGTCCACACCCTGCTGTGGTGTGAGCGTCCAGTTTGGAGGCAAATAAGCATTATCATTAATTCAGAGACATGGCGAATCACAGTCATGAGTTTTTCACTGCGCACAAGGAAGTTCTGCATTGTACCTATGCGTCACCAAGTGCATGTTTGTTCACTCACGCGGAGATTTTGTTGTATATGATTATGGAATCGTTTGATGAGGAAAATGTTAATGCATTCCCTCATATTTATCAGTATAATTCCCAAAGTGCTGACGTATATTCTGCTCTAGTTCCTGGTAAATATGAATTTTAATATGAAAGCTGAATATGACGTTCAGGTTCAAATATAACATCCGTTTTCCTTCTGTAATGCTTAACAGTATATGTCCTACCACTGATAATTATACACTCAAATAGTGAGTGAGTTGGATTTAACGCCGCTTTTAACAGTATTCCAGTTATATCACGACGTGTCAGCTTAATGTGGGAGGAAAGCCCGAAATGATGCAGGTCACAGACGTTTACCACTTCGGTGAAACCCACGAGCACGAGTATGGTGCAGACAAATCTAGAAACATAATCGGGGCGAACAGGGATTCGAACCCACAATCATAGGTTTCTGGCGTGCCCAAGGGACGCAACTCTGCACAGCGAATCGCGGCGACTTAAACGACTTGGCCACCCGTGCCCCCTACACTCAAAGAAAAAAGTTACTATGATTATTTACTTTTTATCATGTTTTTAGATGCACATAAATCAAACTCTTCTCTTTTTGTTCAGCATAAATAAATGTTATTCCCATGAAACGGATTTGCTCTCTCCTGGCAAAATGCACTCATACATGTGCGCACCTGTCTCAACAAAATGAAAGCGAAATATTCGAAATAGACCACTGATTAAACTTCACGTGTGTTAGGTGCTTATGAAGCAAACAATAAATCTGCATCCTTCTATATCCCTACACACTTCGCTAAGCAGTTATATACACAACGCAACAGCGTATCGGTTTCGCAAACAGGACTTAGCCTCCCACAGTCAAAGGGTACAGTGAAAGGGGTACCCGTACTTGTCCTCTAAAGCAAAGAGGACACGCTGACTCATGCCACGGTATTCTTTACCACGTGTTCTTATTACCAGCATTAACGTGTTTACCAAGCACGAGATTCACAAAACAGGAAAACAAACGTGACAATGTTGACATTCAACAAGATCATACTTCATATCATAGATCACCAAAACAAACTATATAATCTGTTCCTGGTGTATATTTAGTCTCTGTGTATATTTATATAAACTGCCTGGTAAAAGGATATATACACTTGAAAAATGGATTTGAACAAAACATTACAAACGTTATCAAAACGTTACTGGTTTGATAAAAATCGCCGAAACAGTACACACGTATGGTCCAAAACACTACTATGAAACCTGTATCAAATACATCACCATCGAATAACCATTTCTTGTTTGTTTTATTTTAGCCACCATCAAACATGGGTGTGTATGTTTTAGGGCGGCAATGTATTTCTCCGTACTAGACAATAATCGAATGTACAGTGTGATCATGAAAAAAATTAAGCAATCCCATGGTTCACACTGTTATAAGTTAATTAACTGTTGAGTTTAGTATTAGGTATCATTCCAACCAGATAGATATATGTATTTTACACGCTTCCTTTCAAATGGACACAAACCAAATCCATGAAGCATTTCTTTATTTAACACAAAACCCATATCAATGAATAATGAGAATGTGGATGTAGAAATGGATTTTGTATCGTAGTTAATGTAGAAAATAAGCGTTAAGACTTCTTGTACACCTTGATACTTCAATTATACATCTAAATTAAAAACGTTTTCATAAAGAAAATTAAATAATTCTAAACTTTTAATGACAATGACAATGACAAATTGTTTATTTTTGTCTCATCGGAGATACAGGTTATAGGCATATACATTATTATAAAAGTACACTATAAAGTATCTCTGCCACCCATGATGTTGGTTATAAGAGACCATACATAATACATAGTAAAACAAATTGAGTTAAAACATAAAAAGCAATATAAATATATATGGTGTTATCGGTAGTGAGGTTTTCTTCGGACAGCCATTTTGTAGCACATACTACCTAGTGTTGAAATAATATTATAATCATTTAAAATATATACAAGCTCAATATTATTATTCAAGTGCCATTTGTGGGGTTAAATACTTGTGGAAGGTGGGTAACACGGATATTATCATAAAGTGAGCAGTGGAGGAGAAAGTGAGTTTCATCTTCTACACATCCAGGGCAATATTTACAAAAACGTTGGTTAACTGGCACAGGAGGATAAGAATAATTTAATTCTCTCATGTTATACCCTCTCCTCCCACTAACCCCCTTCCGTGATCAGAGACGTTAATGTCCTTGTCATCAATTGCCGTGTACCATGGCACCCACAATAGAGGACACTTCTGGCCGTCATGCGTTGCTTTGTTTGTCAGTGTACAATGGAGATTGAGTGATCTGCACTCAAGCTTGTGTGAAATCCAAGGGTAGGTATGCTGATATCATCAGGAAACGTCACAACAGTTAATGTGTAGGGTCACGGGCTGCGGGGCTATGGTATTTATATCGGTTTTATTGACGGGCGTAGCATGATGTTACATTTTAGTGACACACACAAACACACACACAGACACACAGACACACACACGCACGCACGCATGCACGAACTCACAGACACACATTTGATGAAATCCTAGAATCAATGCAACGCTATTTTGTCTTTTACACTGAGCGGAGAGATAGATAGATAGGCAGACAGATAGACAGATAGATAGACAGATAGGCAGACGGACGGACAGGCAGACAGACAGACAGACAGACAGACAGACAGACATACTGACAGACAGACACACAGACAGACAGGCAGACACACACACACACAGACAGACAGGCAGGCAGGCAGGCAGACAGACAGACAGACAGACAGACTCACAGACAGACACACAGACAGACAGGCAGACAGACAGACAGACATACTGACAGACAGACAGACAGGCAGGCAGGCAGGCAGACAGACATACTGACAGACAGACAGGCAGGCAGGCAGGCAGGCAGACATGCAGACAGTAGACAGGCAGACAGACAGGCAGACGGACGTACAGACAGACAGACAGGCAGGCAGGCAGGCAGGCAGGCAGGCAGATAAACGCTGACATGTCTGCACAGACGAGTTATCCCAAACACGTATGATTGATCGCAGTGACGCACACTGTAAACGGACAGGAATGTGTCGTGGATATATTTGTTGTGTTCATGACATCGCCATCAAATATGATTGAAATGGAAATAGAGTTATTACATTTATGGCTGAGCTAGCTGTCGATAACGACACTTATTGCGCGAGAGTCACTATTCTACAGCACGATAACAATGAATGCGAAATTGCATTTCTGTTGCTGTTGTTCACAATAGAGTGAATGACCTGCCCTCATACAGCGTTCAGACATTTCGTACATTCTTTGAGTGATTAACGTTCATGTGAGCAATATAGTGGCTCAGTATGTCCATCACAGTGCTATGGTCATAACTAAATACATACATGGTCTATATGATTCACAGGGACAAATACATGATGTATTTTAATCAAACATTGAAATGAGTCCGTATGTGCATGCATGTGTTATGGTGGTTATAAAAAATACACATGTTTAAAGGATTCATCGGGACAAATATTTCAATCAAGCGTTATAATTTTAGATGAATGGAGTCTTCGCGTGTATGAAAATGTTATGTTTGTTCTTAACACCAGCTACATATATATTTATTGTTTTCAAGCAATTTGTCCTTAAGAGGCGAATGGATCGGGTGGTCAGGTTCGGAGATTTCCTTCGTAACAGCAACCATTGTTTTATATGGTTACCCAATGTACGTTGGATATTGATGGACACAGTAGCTTCCCATTATACATGATTTTCTTGGTGAACAGTTTAATGCGTGACCTGCTAACTGTGTGTCATAATATCTGACGGTGTGGTTCGATGCTCATCCTGTCAACCATTGGTTTGTCTGACTCATGCCCAATTGTACAGACCCCTATGATATAGCTGGAATGTGGCTGGCAAAGGTTAGCATTCACTGTTTCTCTTGTACCATTCTACATAATGTACAGTACATAAACATATATATAATAAACAGCCACCATAACTGTATTTCCATATTCATTTTTCAGCATGACGCTATCACATGACTACATTTGTTTTTAACGACAGTTGCATACATATCTTTTTTTTATCTTGACCTTCAAATTAAAGACATTAAAACATGTTAATAATATATACAAAAGCAAAATAAGACTTCTTTGTCATATAAATACGCTCCCAACATAACTTCCTTCCATCTTATGTAGACATTAAGCGAATTGGTGTTCAGTTGGGTTAAAGAACTTTCTGGACTTGCTAAGATTGTTATGATTGAGTAATAATTTCAAGAAACATTTTTTGAGATATATATGGATTATATACCTTGAAAGGGAAAGATATTTTTTGTGACTCTATTTTACCCAAATACACATTTACGGCACAAAACTACATTGGTCTATCTTCACAGGTGATTTATTGTGTACACAGAATCAGATCTTTAAGATCATCATAATTATTATTATATTTCAATGATCGATACATTTATTGATAATTGTGTATGCGTGTACAGATTAATTTATTGTATTTTTATATAAACTATGCATCTTCTAACGTTTTATATGATTGTATTTAGTTATTGGTATAAATATGAGAAAATATAAACGCATACTCTATTCTGTGATTAGGATGCTGATGTGTCACAATGTAGACGTTTATCCTGCATGTTATGTAAAACACTAATTGTTATCTCATGTGTGGTTGTGTGTTATTCACTTGGTTGTCCTTCACAGGTAGAACTAGACACGGTGTTGCTATGCAGGTGGCGTCATTGTTATGGTAATAGTTTGCATTTGAGATACATAACATACCCTGTGCGTTGTCAGGAAGCGGGACAAAAAGATATGTTCACGGGTTCATAATATTGTAAGACCCTGATTAAATGCTCCGTCGAGTTAACCACTCGGGACGTTCGACATTGCGGGTGGAATTTCAGATATGCCTGCCTACAATTGTGTTATTGTGCCACAATGATGGACAAAATAATCTAAGGAATGACTTGCTAAATTATATTGTGTTTTACCATAAATCCCCGAGGCGTGATAGATGAGTTATGAAAGAGCACATGACATAAAATGTGACATTGTTGAAGAATGTCACCTGTTAAAATATACTGCCAGGCAAAAGAAAGTATACACTTGATAAAAAAATTACAAACGTTATCAAAACGTCACTAAGCTAAACTGTGATAAACTCATTGATATCATGCATGTAATATCGCCTGTGATACCCGTATCAAAAACATCACCATTGAATAACCATATCTTGGATTTCATTAATACACCCAATCAAACATGGGTGTCTACTTTTCTCTCCCAGGTTTAGTTTGGCAATGTAATATTAAACAATCCATACCTTAACATCGCTACACGACAAAAATCCAGACACTGAAAAATGTAATTTATGGATACATGAGGTTTCATTTTATTATCTTAACAATAGAACTGCCGCCCCATCAAACCTTAACCTGGGCGTGATGGAGTGTATTAATGTATTTCGTAACCTCTAAAACTAAATAGCATGAAATGCTAAATAAGCTTGATGTAGTCATATCCCCAGGAAACAAGGTTCACCATCATTAAACTCAACAGCATCAATACATGATGGCAGTTGTGATCACTGAAGTGAACGCTGAATCCCACGGTTTGGGATTTGTCTTGCTATCCATGTCACACAGAACATCTATCGTGTGAACCGCAATTTATAATATGTTACGACCTTTCAAATAATGTTAAAATAAAGAAGACGTATTATCGTTGAGTATTTGAGTGAGTATGGTTTTACGCCGCGTTAACAATACCCCAGCAGTATCTCGACGGGACATACCAGAAGTGGCTTCACATTGTACCCATAATCGTCTTATTCAAGTGTGATAGTATTACTTTCGGTACACTCACCCCCACTCCACACCCCACACCCCACACCCCACACCGCACTCCCCACTCCCCACACCAACTACCCCACTACCCCCCTTCCCCACACCCACTACCCCACTACCCCACTACCCCACACCCCACACCCCACACCCCACACCCACTACCCCACACCCCACAACCCACAACCCACACTTCATCCCAACCCACACCACCCCACAAACAAAACAGTATCTGAGGCATATCAGAGTAATTATCGGTAATATATAAATTTTCAGCATTTCAACTAAAATCATTACTCTGATGTTCTTCATCCATATATGAGACTGAACAAGCCATCGACAATGGTATTATATTCAATACAAATTACCACAACAATGAGTTTTAAAAAACTTAAGGTAAGTGAATCTTTATATTGTAACATCATAAATTAAAAGTCGGGTTAACTTCAGTTTGAAGTGTAAGTGGAGGTATAGAGGTAAATTCAGCCCTCTTTATATTCATAGTATGACCTCGTATCCTAAACGATCATTATCAACATTGACACAATAGGTCCAGCTTTGTATCCGGCATGCTAAATGTGACAACTATTTCATTTACCTGTATAGGCTTGGTCTTTGAGCCATCGGTGATGAGGAAATCTATAGTGGTAAACCCGTCCAGTGCGATGCAGACATTAGGGTGTCAGTGTATGTTTAAACTCACAAGAATCGTGACACCTGTACAACATACGTACATTCAGGTAATATGTCATTAGCCCACGTAAAACCCTCCTGTCTGTTTCGTCTCCTCTCAGCCCAACAGCATGAAGTATGACCGGTGTAAATCATACTTGTTACTCTACCGGATCTAATATTCTAACCCCCTTTTCCTGGTAAGGATCTCTATTCATTCTCTATGAATGTAGTCCCAGTTGGACTTTGCTGTGCATTTCTAGCGACCAGTGGAGCTTGACACGTATGACCTGAAATTAGAGCTGTCGTATATTAAGACCAATAATGCGTTATCCGTGAGAGGGGCGAGGCTGCATTTAACTACAACCCAGATCATGGATAATGGGTTAACTATTGTTGTGTTTTCTTCATTCTGACGACTGAGGGTCACTGCTGTAGGCATAACATTTTTAACGATTTGAAGTAACAATGATTTATATTTGTGTCAAGATGAGACCTTCGGGTGATCAGATATACGTATGCAATAAACGACGTAGGTGAGTATCAATGTCTGCAACCAACGTTCTAGTCTGTAAAAAGACATCGTATTTAGTAATCGATACACTAGGGTTTTAAGACGGATGTTGGTTAAGTGCGAGCGGTTTGCCCTTCCCTATCAATACAACAACCGCTTATCCACACTGCACCTTGACTCAGTCCCTCCTCTGTATCGCCTTACATTCAATATATAATTTGAATCGAATAATGGATGTGCCTTTGGAATGTGTGTTCCCTAATTATATGGAAATGTCCGGGTTCTATTCCCATACGTGTGTACGATCAGTGAGGACAAAGACGACTTGTTTTCCTGAGAGGAGGATGTTTACGTGAACACGGGCGTTCTCAATACAACGTTATGATTATTCAGAGGCATGTCTTATTGTTAGGGTTTTCTAGTTTTCAAGTTGTAGGTCACGAACAGCTGCGTACTAAACATCTACATTGTGAAAGAGATAAATACATCCGGGCATGTATAGGACGCGGAGTAAACAATATAGAGTGAAAGTGAGTTTTTAATACCGTGTTTAGCAGTATTTATTTATTAAATAAGGGGCGCATAACAAGGAAGTTTAAGGCTCTGGTGAAACTGATAGCATGTAGGTTGGTGTTGACGTACTCAAATCTATAATCATGAAGCCGGAATATGGCCCAAAACGCGAGATCCGTCCAACTATAGGTCACAACACGGCGCACAGCGGTGTACATTCGGAAGCTGTCACCTAAAGTTCGATGCATATGACAATGTCGCACGTTCTACTACAATGTGGGGCACGAGTGGCCTAGTCGTCTAAAGCGCCGCAATTCGCCGTGAAGAGTTGCGTCCCTTGGGCACGCCAGAAACCTATGATCAGGGGTTTAATTCCCGGTCCCCCACGATTATGTTTTTAGATTTTCAGCGCCATGACCGTGCTCATGGCAAGGCCGTAGTTAACCATTTTGACAGGCGGGGGAGCAAATATCACTTGTCCCCAACTCAAATACTATTTTCTATAAAACAATCCGGAGTGTTTGTGTGTGTGTGTGTGTTTGAGGGGGGGGGGGGGGGGGGGGGGTATTCACAAAAGTGATAAACGTCTGCATCACTTCGGCCTTTCCTTCCACATTAATTTAACACGCCGTGATATAACTGGAATACTATTCAAAGCGGCGTTATACCCAAATCACTCACTCACTCTAATACAATGTACAAGACGGGGAGGTTGGCCTTGGGTAGCCTAGTGGTTGAAGCGATCACTTGTTACGTCGAAGACCCGGGTTCGATTCCCCCCAATACGATGTGTGATGCACATGCTGGTGTCTCCGTCTTGATATTGTTTGAATATTGCTAAATGTAGCTTAAAACCCAACTCCCTCAATCACTCACTCAATACAAGACTATGATGTAGAGTTGGTAAGTGAGTTCTACAGTGTTTTATCCGACCACATAACACCGCTGACACCGCGAATAGATCCTTACAAACTGTGCATGATATTGTCGTTTTTTTCTACCTGGGATCTCAGCGATCAGAACAGGCCCGCAATACGCCGTGCTAGACAACGTTATACGTTGGGGTCGGGTGATTATATTGTGCGAGCTGGCTATGGCGTGTCAATGTAACCGGCGACATGGATCTTGTTCACATGTTTGATCAAGTTTCGATACCTTGGTAGCTTTAATAGTTCTGACTGCGATGTAAAACAACATTCACTCACTCAGACTCTCACTCCACCAGCAATGACATTCAGCAACAGGCGATGTGGTATAATGATCCTGTATATACATGGTGGAGAATATAAAACTAACTGCGAATACTTCAGCCGCATGTATTTGGTGTATTGGTGTATTGGTCCAAAGGGCAGAAATCGTTGAACAGAAGCCTCAGCCTTGTTGCTGGTTCCGCTTTGGTATGTGCACATATTGTGAGCTGCTGGAGACTAGACAATTGTTTAGCTACATCCGCAAAAGGAGAAAATTGTCATCACGACTAGGAGCCTAAAAACAGCGAGAAGCACAATTATTTTGTTGAAGCATTATCTGGAACAATTTATTGTTTTCGATAAAACCCAAGCCCCCACGTGTTTAACATCAACGCTGTCAACGTTGTCATCTACAAATAACTTCAGAATACAAAACCCTGACTAATGGCTGACGTCGTATTGTAAACATTGCATATCTACATCCTTCACGCCCACGTCTTGAATAAAAGCGACAAAACCCTTTCCATATTCATACTATTAGGAAAGTATAGTACAGTAAACTACGGTTATAACGAACACGCTAATAACGAACTGGCGGATATAACGAACTGGTTTTTAGGTCCCTGCCATTTGCTGTATATATGCTTATAACGAATTACGGTTATAACGAACTAGAATTTGTGGTCCCTTTGAGTTCGCTATAACCGTAGTCTACTGTAATTGACAGACACGGGTGCAGTAATCTGTGTCTAAAACACTCTCAATTCGCGTCGAATGCATGGTATTACTTTTGTCTATTCTCATGAGCAGTAGCGCATTAACACATAAAACTAAGGTCATATGTGGCGTCATCCGGCTTACTGCTTACTACTCATACCTAGTGTCACCGTCAGGGGCGGTCGGGTAGCCTAGTGGTTAAAGCGTTCGCTCGTCACGCCGAAGACCCGGGTTCGATTCCCGACATGGGTACAATGTGTGAAGCCCATTTCTGGTGTCCCCCGCCGTGATATTGCTGGAATATTGCTAAAAGCGGCGTAAAACCATATTCACTCACTCACTAGTGTCACCGTCCACACAAAAATATTTCAGAAATCTGTGGAATATCAAGGCGATGATGATGCAAACGAGATCATATCAAAGAACATTTAGAAAACACTCTAAAACCATAGCGTTTCCCCCACAGACGTAAACTTATCAATCAGGAAAATAGTCCGTCACAATCTGACCTTGGTTCATCACTATGGAGTAGCCAATCACGGACCTGGAATTCGATCTCACACACATGTTTAACACTGATCATCTCAAATGAGTGTCTCACTCACAGGTGTGTTAGAAAAAACTTGGATCTTCTGTGTGAAAAGAATTCATCCTTTTCATGTTCGATATGATTATATACGGTGATGCAGGCTTTCTCCTGACACACTGACGTTATGCCGACACGCCCTGATATTACTGTCAGAGAGTTCAAAACAGCGTTACCAACTCAATCACGTTTACCTTTGATGACATATGTTCGCGTGAAACGCTTTGTTCTTCATGTAATTGAACATATATTAAACTCAATCGTTTCGTGACATGCATACATAAAAATACGTGATTCTCACCGGCATCCTTTAAACTTTAATCAGATATCCTTTAAGTATTCTTCCACTGCGGGGACATCAAGAATAGGTTTCTCTCATTGTACCATTGGGAGCCCAACCCGGATCAAAGGTGTGACGAGACTACACTCTAAGGACCAGTCTACCTCACTGCCCCCAATGAACTAAAGACAACTAGTGATTTCGGTATATAGAGAGGTATATATTTAATCGGTACACTAGGCAGATTTTCGTCTTCCTTTACATCAACTTGAACATGATGACAGATGCAATTCAAACAACAAACCTTCACCGGACATGTATTAAACCAAACATAAGTCATCTTAAATCGGTCGTGGAGTTTATTCCGTGGTACAAAAGCTGTAAAATCTTAGGCGTAAAATCATAAATGCTGCATTTTGTCTAAAGAATTTTCAAAACTATGACACTAATAAGTATACAGTATACGCTAAAGAAATGGATTGTCATTCACAAGCAGTTTCAGTATTAACATTACAACTTCATGGCAGTTTGCGTGTTACATACAGTAACTATAATCATCAATAGGTTTATACAGCGAAACTCCCTTGTTCCAAATGGTACTAATCCAAACAAAATTATCCGGTTTACGAAATTTCCGGATTTACCAATTTCCTTTTAAATATATATTTAGCGTATGCTTCAAACACTGTATATTCACAGAGACACCTGGTTACTTCGGAAACCCCGCTTTGTGGCGAATCGCCACAAAGCGGGGTTTCCGGAGTAACCGGGTGTCTCTGTTGTCCGCCACAAAGCGGGGTTTCCGGAGTAACCAGGTGTCCCTGTAGCCCGCCACAAAGCGGGGTTTCCGGAGTAACCAGGTGTCTCTGAGGCCCGCCACAAAGCGGGGTTTCCGGAGTAACCAGGTGTCTCTGAGGCCCGCCACAAAGCGGGGTTTCTGGAGTAACCGGGTGTCTCTGTGGCCCGCCACAAAGCGGGGTTTCCGTAGTAACCGGGTGTCTGTGGGAGGCGAATCGCCACAAAGCGGGGTTTCCGGAGTAACCGGGTGTCTCTGTTGTCCGCCACAAAGCGGGGTTTCCGGACTAACCAGGTGTCTCTGAGGCCCGCCACAAAGCGGGGTTTCCGGACTAACCAGGTGTCTCTGAGGCCCGCCACAAAGCGGGGTTTCTGGAGTAACCGGGTGTCTCTTTGGCCCGCCACAAAGCGGGGTATCCGGAGTATTCGGGTGTCTCTGAGGCCCGCCACAAAGCGGGATTTCCGGAGTAACCAGTTGTCCCCGTTTGCCCGCCACAAAGCGGGGTTTCCGGACTAACCAGCGGGGTTTCTGGAGTAACTGGGTGTCTCTGTGGCCCGCCACAAAGCGGGGTTTCCGGAGTAACCGGGTGTCCCTGTTGCCCGCCACAAAGCAGGGTTTCCGGACTAACCAGCGGGGTTTCTGGAGTAACCGGG